TCAGCGAAAAATGTCCCCAAGGTAGCTGACAAGAATCTCGAATACGGAAAGGGTGTCGGCGGTACCAGCGGTCTTGGTGGTGACGCTATGGCTGTTCAAACTGCTGTCAACGCACCCAAGGCAAAGTCGGAAGGCCTTGGACAAGTTGACAAGAAACTGTAAGAACCTTTCAACTGAAACTCGCTGTATATTTTCTGAATTTCACCAACCAAATAACCTATATCAGCTTGACGATCCGTAGTTGCTGCTTGAATTTTCTTTCAATCCCATTACTAAGATTGTATAATCAAAGAAGTGATTTTATCCTGTCCCATACGCGATGTTGCTTCAGCCCTATCCTGCCGTTTTGCTTCATGGCCGCTTGATAAGTGCACGGGGCTGTGTTTGGTCGTGCCTATATTTTATTCTCCTTAGTCCCCGCTGAAAGCTTTTTCGCCTGGTTTGTGCTTCATTGCTACATCTTGTAGTCTTTTGCTTTGTCTTTTGAGCTCAGTTCTGCCGTTTTCGGAGTGCATACTCGGATATCATGTTTATGGCTGTGAAAAATGTTCTATAAGAATTACAATGTCATGACTGCTGTATACATGTACATGTATCCAGCTTGTGAGGCTTTCGGATCAATACGCCTAATATGTCTGTACTCCTCGAGTCCATGGCATTTGCAGTCGTTCTTCCTTCCCTCAAACTCGTAGACTTGAGCAGTCCTTCGAGATGGTTTGCTCCCTCCTGTCACTTCCGTAGCAGCAGACGTTAGCACATTGTTTGCTTGTAAACTGTATGTGCATGAAATGCTAGATACCATTATGCGTGCAAAGCAGGCTGCGCAGAACGAAGTTATCTTGCAAGAGTAAACCAGCTCCCAAGCTTGTACTAGCTCTTGGTAATACAATGTAGTGTTCAAGTTGCATGTAGTTACAAACAGGAGTTGATGGGGTAGATCTACCCTACAAAGTAACAAAGAAAAAGATAACGAAAATGGTTTGAGATTGATTCGGGGTTTGAAGTCTTCCATTAGGGAGGTTCTGCTCTACGTTTTGGGAACGAGACGCAAAGAATCACGCGAACTTTCTTCGCGTTCCCGTAACGTAAAGAAATGCTGTTCTGCTCTACGTTTCACCTAGAGAAGTCACGTGGAATGTGTACTGGGATTTTCCCTTCCATATTTGGCAGTTTTCTGCATGTGAGTTGATCGATACCCAGCAAATCCGTACGCATTTTCTCTGCGTGTGCCACAACGTAGAGAACCCCATCTCCGCGTAGAAATCTGGAGCCAAAACACGCGAAGCCGTAGACTCTAACCCAAAAACTAACAGGGGAAAAAAAAAAAAAAAAAAAAAAAAAAACCCAGACACCTGCTCTCTACGTGATTTCTCTACGTTTCACGTATAGCAGAACCTCCCTAATCTTGTTTCGTTTGGACAGCAGACTAGTCTATGTAGATCTACATTGCACTTTTGCTGTGGGCCGTGGGGACTTCAAAAAATATTTTCCAACCGTGACCAGTCATGCCAAGAGTCCATAACCCACTGGGTTATGGACTCTTGGTCATGCTAGTCACAGGTAGCAGTACAGTAGAATCGCGCGCTGAAGAACGTGGAGCCCAAGAACGGCGATGTGTTGGTTTTCTGGCAGCTTGTGGAATACATGTGATCCAGTACGAGTTCGTACGGATTGCTGACAAAATAAGAACGTCCCAGGCTAACCCCTTGGAAACAACGTTCTTGGGCGCGCGACTCTACTGTACACAGGTGTTGTACAACACCTGCGTGCATGTACCGTCGTACGGATCGGTGGATGAAAAGTCAGCAAACGAAACGGACAAAACCAGCCAATCAGGGAGTCGTAAAATACGACTCCCTGGCAAATGCTATCAGATACGAATGCCAGCCTCGGCAACTAACCGCCAAGGTGGGAGGTGAGTTCAACAACAGTGAAACCTGTCTAATACGACCGCTCAAGGGACCTGCAAAATGTGGTCTCTGTTGCCAGGTGGTCTCCTTATCCAGGGTCATTTGGCTGCAAAAAGCATCCCTTGGTCGACCGTCGACGTCCTGGTTGAAAACGGTTCTGGTTATGGTGATCGCCTTATCAGAGTGATCGCCTTTGACAGGTTTTACTGTAACTGGTTACTGCACCAGCCGTAGATTCCGGGATCCGTGCAAAACACAAGTCATAACGCTGTACCGGAGTTGGCCAAAAAAAACTGAATTTGCAGCGAATCCAAGACATGACACAGCTGTATGCTTCTCCGGTCTTGTCTGCTTGAAGAGCAGCTATCCGTTTGCAGTCTACAAGTAAGGCCACACTTTGTTTTTTCTATTTTTCTCGTCGGCAAATTTTAACGAAAGGTACGCGGGCGGGCGGAAAAAAACAAAAGCCAAGGAAAAAACAAGAACAATTTCTACTGAGAACTGTATACATTTTACAATGTACATGTATACATGGTATACACAGTGTCTTGTATCAATCACGCATAATTATTATGCGTGATTGATACAAGACACTGCGTATACCATGTATACAGTACTACATTGTACAATCATGTACATGTACAGTCCATTTCAAAACTATAGACGCGTGAACTCATACGTACGAGCCGTACGTACTGTAGCGCACGACAGCCGTGAGTTTTGCATGAGTGTTTTCTGGTTTTCAGATGTGTTTTTCAGGTTTTTCTTCGTCGCCGCGGGAAATACAAAAGATGCAAAACACGCAAAGTCGCAAATGAAAAGGTGTGGGGAAAGTCTCAAAAGAAATGAAAGTCTCAAATGAATCTTCTTCTTGTTTGCATTTTCTGAGTGCCTGACTGTAATGGCTTCCAAGGCCCGTAAGAATCTCAGTGATGCCGAGAAAGATATGATTAGTCGTGTTCATTGTTTCTTCGAACAAGAGCTGGATTTTGATTGACGCTTGAGTATCCGAAATCCTCGTCGTCGAACTCACCTTGCAACTGGCGTGAGTGAAACCACTGTCACTCGTTGTGTCAGGCGAAGGGAACAGGGAGGCTCAAATCAAATCAAAAAGAGAAAATATAATTATCATCTCTACTGTATTTCACCCAACAAGATCCAAAACATGCAGAAAAGAAGAGAAAAAAAAGGCAGGAGGCGTGATGGGATTCGAATGCCCCACACTTGTACTGGAAATCACGGATCGAAACCACGAGGCTACCAGGACCCGTACAAAAATGCACCCGCGATGGTAGTAGTAGTAGTAGTAGTAGAATTTATTATTTTGATAGGGAAGGCCCTACAGACGTTGCCGTCTTGTTACAGGGAACCCTAAGTGCTCTTTACAGAGCGAAACAAAAACGGATAGATGCTCAACCTGACGACACGAGACAGGCAGAGAATTCCACCTATGGTCTGGCAGCACTGTCTCAGCAGGAGCAAAAATCCTAAACAAACTGGTCAAACCCTTAAAACAAACTGGTCAAACCCTTCAAAACAGAAATTACATGTAAAACCGGAAAACCTGGCCTAAAAATAAACTTCAATTGTAGCGAAAACAAAGTATAGCCAGAATTGTGAAGCGATGCAGAGACGGAATCTGGAGAAAAAACTAAAAATATTTAAATAAATCCCATCGAATTTTGCAAAACACTACGCGTCTATAGTTTTGAAATGCACTGTAGTCCCATACATGATTGCACTACATTATCACATCAGCCCACGAATATCAGGCAAACTGCAACAATGTCAATGAGAGCTTTTTGATTACGAGATGGCGAAGAGAACAATACATTTATCTGCTATCGCATCAACAAACGTTTCCCACTCGTCATTAATTTTTGGTTTTGTTACTTCAACGTTCTTGTGTCCGCTTATCAAACTCTTGTCTCTGCTATCAAACTCTTGTCTCCATGCTGCTCATCTTTTCCTTGCCATGCGTCTATTGCTTGGATTTTCTGCCTACGACATCATTCCACAGACGCCAGTTGCCGCGGAACTCGTCCAACTTACTGTTCCTGGGACCCACGAGGCTCAGCTCAGCCAGTGAACGACTGAAAGTGAAAGCTTCGTCATGACAGCCTTCATCGCAGAGAACGGACGAGGAGCGCTCCTTTGCTGCATGCTGTGGTGCAAACGTTTACGATTATTGATTGACGCATCTAGCTGCTGCAGCATGTGCAGCGTACATACATGTACACATGTACGTAGTATGAACTTTTTTTTTTCTTCCAAAATTTCTGAAAACCTACGCGGGCGATGACGAGAAACATAGAAAAAACAAAGTGTGGCCTTAAATGTTGAGCGACTCCGTAAATATAAAAGTAATGAAGGACGATGAATAGCCAGCTACATCACGCAGCCACCGCAGCCAACATCCCGTCAACAGCTCGATGCAGAGTCGCAACTACTCCCATCGACTATGCGTCGAGCTAAAATTTAATGTAGCTAACGTGTCGGCCTTTGAAAGTTCGTGAATGGCAGATTGTCTTGAGAGACGATAGCCACTGGCCAAAGACCAGGGAGACGCCAAACGTCGACTCACTGATGCCTGAGTGATGGAGCCGCAGGAAAAAGTGCAAGCAAAAAAACAAAAAAACAAAAAGTCAGGTTCTACCGAGATTTGAACTCGGATCGCAGGATTCAGAGTCCTGAGTGCTAACCATTACACCATAGAACCTTTCCCGTTCAATGCATCGGGAGCGCACAGTTTTGATGTGTGTGCATGCATGCAGTGACACATGTATGATGTAATGACTATGTGCGACCCGGGTCCCGGGTACCCCACGTGACGTCGCACGTCGGCACTCGGCAGACTTGGCACATCAAGATGATCAAGACTCATCTTGCTTCATGTAACATTGTTACCATGTCAAATATGGCGATCCATTACAATCCATCATGAAATCTTTGCGATTTGAACCAGGGAGTAGTACAATATGGTATTGTACTACTCCCTGATTTGAACATCGAGTCATTCGCCGTTTTTCAATAATTTTTTTTCCTTTTGTTTTGAGTGGGTGCATGATATGATGCACATAACCATGATAACACTGAGCTGATCAGCTGACGACACTTCTTTGTCCTTTGCGTTTGCAAAGTTTGTTGTTCTTGGCTTGAGTGCAAGTGAGCTTTGTTTCTTCTCGGCTGCAAAGGCTGGGGTTACCGCTATCTTTTCCCCAGAAGACGGTGTGATCACAAGGATGGCGCAGGTCGTAGTCAGCAAGAAGAACCCCCCACTTGGTGAGTTGCTTTTTTTATGGCAATTTGTTTGTTGTGTTGATGTTGTGGGCATGAAGGTGACTTTCATATTTCCCATTATTGACGTTGGCTGAAGGAGAAGTGATTGTGTGATTTGCTGTCTGTCATTTTAAAAGTTCTCCCTGCCCCAGAGTAATGTTTGATCCACTCTCACGAGTTTGTGATCATATACATCTCAGTACCTGCACATGTATTTTGCAGTTTCGCAGTTGATCTACACTGCTAAAAACATTTCGATTTCCTGGTTGAGGCTCAGGTTTGGCACCAGGACAAGAAGTTTGGGATGTGATCGAAATGAGCCATGCAGATTTCCAGTATAATACTTAATAGCTTAGACGCTGCACTCTGTTTGTTAGGTGAACTATCGTAGCTTCTGCATTGGAGATTTTTTCTTCGAATTTTCTGCATTTTCACGTACAGCAGTTGCGTGCACCATAATAACAAAAGCACATAAGCCAAAGTGTGCAAATCCGGGAGAATCACCCCACGGTGAAGTTGTTTATTTACTGTTTAGGTCGTAGTGACACACCTTTGCGGCATCTCACACCAGTTCACATACATGTTCATTTTGCCATATCACCAAGTTACCACAGTGAACGCGATTTCCCATTATCGCCTTGTCATACAGAGATTTAGCACCAAACCTACAGAATGATGGGTTTTCATGCGCGTAGTTCCATTCATTGGAGTACCGGCACTGGCATACTTGTATATTGGGAGCAGCAATCCCTGCGTCAGTTCTACGCCATGATTTTTTGACGCTCGGATAGAAAATCGACACGGTGAGCAGGAATTGTAGAAGGGCCGGATCATCGGTACTTCATGGTGTATAGGCTGTGCGTATAAACAAATTGATGATCAGTATAGTTTTTTTTAGAATAAAATGCAATCACGTATACGGTGGTGGTGGTGAAGTGGACGCAGAAAATGCAATCACCCTCAAGCAAAGAACAAATTCCAGCCTCCTCATAATCAACATTTTTAAAAGATATCCACTAGTACTTTGCCTTCTCTCATCTGGTAGAATGTCTGAGCATCTGGAATGTCATATGCTGTGTACAAGTACTCAGATGATTTGTTTTACGATGTTCAAACGTGTACACAGTGCTAGGTTAAATGCTTTAGAAGCTGTTTACGTTCACACTAGTATGTAGCCTAACATATGCCAACCGAAGCAAATTAAATTCGCATGTGGGCTGTCTGGTAGGCCGTCAACAACTTGCTAGTTTTGTCGACTGGTTGTCTATTGTTGTCGCAAAGCATCGCACGCTTGTTTGGTTTCTTCACACTCACACTTGCACCTGATCTTCGTTCCTTCTGTGCGCATATTGTTCTGCAGTCCACTGTGTTGTTTTTGGTTACTCTTCTTTTGCACTGTTCCTATCACATCCCTGCTGTATATAATTCATTGCGCTTGTTCAATTTCATTTTTTGCCTGTATTCCACCTGATGAGAAGGCAATCGAAATGCTAGTGGGAAAACTTCAAATATGTTGACTGTGAGGAGCCTAAAGCTTGTTCTCTTCTTGAGAGTGATACTTTGGTAGTGTGTAGTGTTGGGGAGTAACCAACTTTCCTGTAACAACACCCACAGATGTTTTGCACTTCTGCTCCGAGTGGGATTTGTGTCATGTCCCTTGTTGGGAGAATGAAGAAAGTGTTTTTCCTTGCCAGAATCCAAGCACTAGAGTGCATCTCTCTGTCTAACTCTTGCCTTGCTATTATCTTCTTCCTTGTGTGTAGCCATCGTCCTTGCTGTTCAGTACGCCTCTGAAAAGTCCAAGGATGTAACACTGCAGTGGGGTGACTCGACCAGCCTCACGCTCGCAAGGTAGGGTAAAAGGGTTCAATTGCCGTGTGGAAGAGAGCTTCTTCTGTAATGTCCCTACCCTCAACTGCATGCTGTGGGTGGCTACATTTCCACAAGTGCCCATTGCTTCTCTCTTGTTGCTTCTCATTTGTCTGTGCCCGTCTGTTCTTAGAATACTGGCATTAGGGTCGAGTTTGCACAATGTGATCCTTTCCTAGCTCGCTTTGCGTATGGGTATGAGTTTGCACAATGTGATCCTTTCCTAGCTCGCTTTGCGTATGGGTATTGTTATTAGTGTTGTTATTGCAACACCAGTTGTGATGCCGTTTCGTATGCAACTCTGCTTGCATTTGTCGTGTGCTGTTGTTGCTAGTGGTGGCAAGGTGTCTGAAGCAAGCACGATCCTCCGGTTTGTCGCTCGCTCCTGTCCACAGTGCGGTCTGTACGGTGGTGGGCCACTGGAGTCTGCGCAGGTGAGTCTTTCGCGCCACTGCTGCTGATGGTGATCATATTGTAATTCCCTCAGATGAAAAGAAAGAAAGATGTTTGCACCACATGTCCTACACTCGAGTGGCGTCTGACGTTACTTGCTTATTTGCGTGGGATTTTTCCACACATCTGTGTGTACGGGCACAACTGCTGGCTCAGTGCGGTGTATGTTCACGGGGTCAGCTGGCATGCAATGCCTTGTGGACTGCTTTATGTGTCTTGTACTATGATGCTGTTGACCCTGTGCATCATCAGGTAGTGGTTTCTTTTAGTCAATGGCTGCCTCAAATTCACACATACAGTCGATTCTGGATGTACAGAGCCCCAGTGTGCAAGAGAATTTGTACTTTATAGCCGAAGTTCTGTATAGCGGAAATGTACTCACACTATGCAGGCAACATGTGAAACTTGGCATACTGCCCTTGACTGCACAAGTGCACTTGTTCACATGCTCCGCAACAGACATGGTTTGTTATAAACAAAAGCAGTTCGCTGCAAAGGGTCGGTTTTTGTGCGGGTCAAAACAGGGACATGGACAATGGTCCGCTACATCACAAAATTCACTACATCCGGGTTCGTGATACTGCAAGAGTTGAAAGTGGGACGAGTGTAAAGTTTAACGATTTGCAATTTTCCCCTCTTAGCAGGCACAAAGTTCAACGACCCTGCCACTACACACCCATCTTTTTTTCCTGTTGTGCAGAGAAGAGAAGGAATAGCATTCCAGTAATGTTTCTTGAGTCAACGATGGATTTTTCTCGTTATAACATCGTTAGACTTTGTGCCTCCGTTAGAGATTCAACTCTTACAGCAAGTTTAGTTGATTGTATGCGTGAAGGTGCCCTCTCCCTCCCCCCTCACAACCAGCCCTAAGTTTACTGGGACTTGACTTTGTCCTGGTGCACAGGTGGACCAGTGGATTGATTTCAGTCAGCGAAAGTTTCACCCCGGTCTGCTGAAGGAGGTCGACGCAGCACTCGCTAGCCGGACTTTCTTGGTTGGACACGGCGTCACTCTGGCAGATCTTGCCGTGTTTGCATTTGTTCATGGTACGTACATGTAGGTTCAGCAGTCGGAGAATCTCTGTGGAGACTCTGTCCAATCAGCCTGTAGCTCACTTTTCCTGTGTGCGCGTGCCCACGTTTGTGTGTGTGTGTGTGTGTGTGTGTGTGTGTGCACGTGTGTGTGTGTGTGTGTGCACGTGTGTGTGCACGTGTGTGTTTGTGTTTGTGCATTTTGCGCGTGTGTGTGTGTGTGTGTGTGTGTGTGTGTGCACTTGAAGTGAATTCGGCCCTCTTTTGTTTGCAATGGACTCGGTATGGAGCTCATGTGTTTATTCTCTTTGTTTTCAACCTTGATTGCACACAGGCAATCAGGCTCAGGTGGCAAAGTGCACCGAGTTGCAGCGATGGTTCACGTGCCTCTCAGCGCAGGCGATGGTCAAGGCAGCACTTAGCACAGTCCCTCAGCAGGCAACCGCCGCTGCATCTGCCGCCGCTTCTGCTGGCAGTGTGAGTGCGATTTCAAGTAGATAGTAATGTGTACTGTAACGTTAGAACGGATTCTGTTCGGTGTAACTTAAATTTCGGTAATTTCAATAGAGAAACCAGGCGCGTAAATTTCACTTGCAGCGAAGAGGCACTAGAGTATGCACTGTGTATGATGGGAATGCTGCTCACCTATTTCTGAAATTAATTACACCTGGAACCTGTCGGGTCCCTGACACTGAAATTCTAATACACATGAAATTACATTTTCTACAGTATGTGTCCACTCCAATGTGCATTTGTTTGCCTTGTACAGTACTGACTCTACCTAGGTCTTACTGATCTTGGCAGCTGTGCTAGTTTGTAACACGCAGGATCCAGTTGAGTTGACCTTGACTTTGTTGCGCCTCGGCCTACTGGATTTGCTCCAGTGGGACGAATGGCGGCGGAGGCCAATTAGTGAATACTTGGTGTTTCCGTTGGATTTAGGGTAGAAGTCACAAGCTGAAACAGAACACCAGCATGACATTGGCTTGCTGGTGTTTTATAATTCCTTCTAGCATACATACATGTCATGGCATGGTTGGGCCGTATGTGAGTCCGTGTGGTTTGCGTGCTATCGTTACACGCAGGCAACGAAAAAGGACGAGGGTGGCAAATTCATCGAGCTGCCCGGAGCCAAGATGGGTGAAGTCGTCGTGCGTTTTCCACCGGAGGCCAGTGGGTAAGCTTAGTGAGCTGTTTGGTGTTGAAGAGTCCTGTCCATGTAGGCTTAGCATGCTAAGTGCATTCGATTACGCCCATGAATCGATTCATGAATGGAATCTCGTGCATTCAAGTCGTTCGATTTTCATGTCATGAGCCCTGGAATCGGTTCGGAATCCGTTCACCCTATTCACATGGGGTAATGTGACTAGCCAGGGGTAATTCATGAATGGATTCAACATCGATTCGTGGGCAAAATCTAAATCACTCACTATCTTTGGTGCTGTTTTATACACCGTTCAGGCAGTGGGGAAGATTGTGGGAATGATTGTGCCACCGTATTCCTCTGCTGTGCCTGCTGTGAGAAGTTTGCAAATGCTGGCTTGGGTTTGTCTCCTCAGATGGAAACCGGTGGGGGAAGTGTTTTCTTAGTCCTATTGTGTGTTTGTAGTGCTTGGCTTCTGTCGCCGCAATGCTGGACGTCACTTCTTGCAGGGGAACCGGCAGTTTCTGTCTGTTATGGCCGCAGTATCGTGTTCCCAGGCGCTGAGTGTGTTTTGTTGTTGTGCTTGCCTTTCCCCACACAGCTATCTCCACATTGGCCATGCCAAGGCTGCACTTCTCAACCAGTACTATCAGCTGAACTACAAGGGCAAGCTTGTGATGCGATTCGACGACACCAACCCGGCAAAGGAGGACGAGCATTTCGAGCAGGTACTGTTCGTACACGGCTGCATTCTCGCGCATTGGCACATTGGCCGTTTTCTTGAATGAAGTGTGCCTGCCCGCAATGTCACTTATTTCACTTCAATGAAGTGTGGATACCCATGTAATGATACTCCAGCAGGCAAACGAAAAATTCACATTTCGCTTGAGACTCAAGCGAACTGTGAATTTTTCGTTTGCCTGCTGTTTCAGCATCCGTAGGAACACCACCACTCTGCAAAGGTCTAAAGCGCGGATGCAGCTCCTAAAGCTGTGGGAGGCAAGCAACGCATGTTCTTATTTCCTATATTTCACTGTAGCCGATCTTGGTGTCCTGGATACACACTCTGTGCTGCGGGCATCATTTCTCATCGTTGTTTGTGATATTTTTGTGTTATTTAGCAATTGTGTTGTATCCCAGCCTGACTATATGTCAATGTGTGTGTATCTGTGTGTTTGTGTGTGTGTGTGTGTGTGTGTGTGTGTGTGTGCGTGTGTGTGGTGTGTGTGTGTGTGCGCGTGTGTGTTTGTGCATGTTCTATAGGTGATTCTTGACGACGTCAAGCTGCTGAACATTAAGCCAGATATCTTCACCTGTACGTCAGACCATTTTGATGTGATCTTGGATTACGCCAGGAAGCTCATCAAGGTCAGTACGAGCAAAGTGCTCAGTTTGGCTCCCCAGCCCTGCATTGAGGGATGAGCGGTGCTGCACGTATATATGCGTGCTTGACTAGGACCAGCAATAGCTTGGAGACTTGTCCCAGGTAGTCACAGTCGATTCAGCTTGACCTTACCTTTCTTAGTTTGAAAGACATAGCTTCTTTGCTTCTTTTTTGTACACCAGCAAGCAAAATCTATTGAGTGAAAAGCACTTGACCAGTCCAATAAACAAAGAGTATGCAGTAGTGTGTCCTATGTCTCCCAGACTCAAGGTGTGACGTGCATATGTATCTGTTTGTTTCGACAACGGTTGTTTCTAGGCCGGCCTTGCTTTCTGTGATGACACTGAACCGGAAGAGATGAAGCTGGTCCGTGAGAAGAAAGAGCCGTCCAAGCATCGCGACTCCGGTGAGTTAATGGTTACCTGTAAATTGCATTGCTTTGGGGACCTTTATTGACTTCAGGCGTGTAAATTCCTGCGTGTTGAGGTGTGGGCTTTAGGGTGGGGCATCTGATTCTCTTCACAGCTCGTTGGCTCCACTGCAGCAGCAGCAGCTGACTGGTAGGGAATGCCATTCATCATTCACACTCCCAGGATCGCCAGTGCAGTTTGCACATTTACTGTTCTATCTTTGGTATCGGATGTCAGTCATGTCAGTCAGTTAGCATTTGGCATGCGCTCCACCGTTGGGACTTGGCAGCCTCAGCTTTCTGCCAATAGAAAAGTGCCTATCTCCTTGCTGCTTTGTACTAAGATCTAACCCTACACGCGCATGTGCTTTCTTTGTGCTGTGCTTGCTTTGTGCATGCAGGTGTGGAGGAGAATCTGAAGCGCTTTGCCGAGATGGAGACGGGCAGTGCGGAGGGCCAGCGCTGGTGCCTGCGTGCCAAGATCGACTACAAGTCTGACAACGGGTGCATGCGCGACCCAACCATCTACCGATGCCGCAGCGAGCCTCACGTCAAAACAGGCACCAAGTACAAGTATGTCGTGAGCTGCACTCGCCTTTGCCTCTTCACTGTGTAGAGTGGTGTTCACATCAGTTTGTCATGTGACTAAATTTGTATAGAAAGTGATCATGGCATGTGGACAGTGGAACCAACATGGCCGATATCATGTGACCAAGAGTACATACCCCCCCCCGCAAGAGTGTGCAACTCCCACATACTAAGTACCCTGCTGTCCCGACAGAATTTCAAGTTGACGTCATTATTTATGACGCAATGCTCCTTGCACCAGTGATTTACAGCATCTGTACGGGTGTCAACGCATCACGCGTTTTTCTTTGCAATAATTTTGTACAGGATCAGAATGGCTTTGGTCCACCACAGGATCCGGATTCGTCTGATAATCTGTGTACAGATGCATTGCATCATAAAAATGATGTCAACTTGAAATTCTGTCGGGACGGCACCCATAGTCGAGTTGCACACTCTTGTGTGTCTGTGCCTGTGTGTAGCAATAAACCAGTAGTATAATGTAGTGACAGTGGCAATGGCAATATTTGGATTTATAGATATTATGGTGCATCGCAGCTGACATCTGACTATGTCTTATTTCCTCTATTCTTGCACCATTGCAGGGTGTATCCGACATATGACTTTGCATGCCCCATCGTAGACAGCCGTGAGGGTGTGACACATGCACTCCGTACTACTGAGTACCATGATCGCGATGACCAGTTTGAGTGGTTCCTCAAGCACCTCGGTGAGTTGTTTGATGATGATGTACAGGCCTCGACTGTATTTGTTACCGGTGCCCTACTTTTTTATGTTGAAAGAGTGTGTGTGTGTGTGTGTGTGTGTGTGTGTGTGTGTGTGTGTGTGTGTGTGTGTGTGTGTGTGTGTGTGTGTGTGTGTGTGTGAGAGAGACAGACGGACAGACAGAGACAGAGACAGAGAGAACCAGGCAAGTCAACAACACGCTTCATGTTGTTTTTGTGTTGTGTGTTCTATTGTTGCTGTAGAGCTGTGTGATGTCAATGTGTGCTGACAGGCTTCATGTTTCTTCTTGTGTGCACACTGTGTGTTGGCGTGGAGTGCAGAGCTGCGTCATGTCAATGTCTGGGAGTACAGCAGACTGACTATGGTTCACACGGTCATGAGCAAGAGAAAGCTCAAGTGGTTTGTCGAGGAAGGCCGTGTCGATGGATGGTAAGGCAATGAGTGGTGTGTTTGGGGTGTGTGCGTGGGGGAGGGGGGCTCAGCACTGCTTGCTCGCAGTTTATGCAGTTGCTTAGCACCATCATGGTATGCTATTGCCGGCATCTTCGCAACCAATGCTGCCAAAGTCGTTACAATATCATCTTCACCTTGAATGTATTGTACTGAAGTTTCTATCCTGCTTTAAGTTTGTCTTGCCGAATGCAAGCTCTCCGCCTAAACTCTAACAGGTGTTGTCTGATCTTCTCCATTGTGCCCTGACCTGCAGGGATGATCCTCGTTTCCCCACTGTACGCGGTATCCTGCGCCGTGGCCTGACCGTCGAGGGTCTCAAGCAGTTCATCATCTCGCAGGGATCCTCGCGCGCCAACGTCCACATGGAGTGGGACAAGATCTGGGCGGTGAACCGTCGCGTGATCGACCCCGTGGCACCGCGCTACACTGCTCTGTTGGAGAAGGACGCCGTGCCGCTCGTCCTGGAAGACAGCGTCGACGCGCACAGCAAGTCCATGGAGCGCCATCCGAAGAACGCCGAGGTGGGCAAGAAGACGGTGTGGTTCAACAAGCGCGTACTGCTGGAAGGTGCCGATGCCGAGAGTCTGAAGGAGGGTGACCGTGTCACTCTCATCAACTGGGGCAACGCATCCATTACTGGCGTCACCAGGTGAGTCTGCACTCCGCATGACCTTTTTCTAATGTTTCTAGTAAAGGTTAATGTCAAGGTAGCCCATAGTCAAAATTCTGTGGTCAGATTGTTTCTGGACCTAACCAGAAACTCAATTTCAACGTAACAATCAGAATATATCAGGAAACACGGGGGGGGGGCAACAGTAGCGAGCTATTTTTGTGGCTGAGACTCAATGGGCTTGGGTTTACCTGATCTCTGCTTACGCGCATACTTTTTCTATTGTTTGCTCATTCTTGTCAAGGGATGGAGGCAAGGTCACTGAGCTCAAGGCAAAGCTTCTTCTCGACGACAAGGTAAATGCAGATTCTGTTGCACTGGGTTTGTTGCGCTGCGAGTCATCGTTGCTTTCACGCGGTGTGATTGATGTCGCCGTACTGCTGTTGATGCCATTGTCATCACCGTTGCACATTGCCAGCATAAAGCACTGTCATTCTAGCACTTCAACTCGTGTTGGCGTTGCTTTGAGAGTGACAGTCGTCATGTCTTTGGCTACAGAAAGATCAGTTCTTTCGGGTGAGCAGCTTGACTTTAATCCTGTGATAGACTTGCTCAATCAGAATTGGGACATCTCCATCTTGACGATAGCCTTGAAAATGCAGCCGGAATGGCCGTTACAAAGTTGTACCACCTCCGACATGACCGGTTCTGACCATGCCTATGTTCAGTATGTTGTGTGCAGTATAACAAAGAGAGCTGTTGCTGTTGCTCTTACCATGTGCATGTTGTTTGCTGTAGTGATGGTGTGGGTGGTGTGGATGGTGTGGGTGGTGTGGGTGGTGTGGATGGTGTGGGTGGTGTGGATGGTGCTGCTGCTGCTACCTCTGTTGTTGATGTTACTGCTTCTGTTTTACTCCCCTTCCTTCGGACCCCCACTTGTACATGACCAAGGAACCTCAGCCACTGCTCTAAGCTCTCAATGCACGTGGTGCGGAGCTCAGTCCGGTTTGAACACTCTACCTTCGTTTGTATGTGTGGAATGCCTTGGATTAGGGAGTGGCACATTGCCGCAAGAGCCTAGCTGTTGGCCTATCTAGTGTGCAGTATTGTGTATTTATTTCTGTGTGTCTGCGTCGTGTGTGGTGTGTTGTGATTATTCTTATCCTCCCATGTTGTGCAGAACTTCAAGGACACCGTCAAGCTTACTTGGCTGGCGCAGGTTGATGGTCAGGCCCCGCCAGCCACTATCTGCACCTACTTTGACAACCTGATCACCAAGGAAGTGCTGACGAAGGACGACAACTTCAAGGACTACATCAACGCGAAGACCAAGGTGTGTGCAAGCTGCCTTTGCATCTCATAGTGTATTGCTGGAACAAGTAGATCTTTCTATTTGCTGTTCCTGTATTTTGACTCTGGCTATGTGACTATGTTGTGATCTGAGCATGTTCTAGCATACCGTTCCATTTTGTGTTTGTGACGCGTGCTGCCTTTGTTTTCTGTTCTTGCTCAGTGGGAAGAAACTATGGTGGGCGACCCGTGCCTAGCTGACGTCAAGAAGGGTGAGATCATTCAGTTGCAGCGTCGTGGCTACTTCATCTGCGACAAGGCGTTCGTGCCAGCAAGGTAAGCAGTGTGTGTGTGTGTGTGTGTGCACGTGTCACAATTGGTTTTCCATGGTGCGGCTGACACTTGCTGGTATTTGATGTTGACGGGTGTCGGCTGACCCTGAGTGCTTGACGTTGACTGGCAGAAAATTATTGCTCCTTTACTTCTTGTGCATTTGTATGTATTGCGTGTTTGTTTGTGTTCAGCGGCGATGCCCCAGCCAGCCCATGCGTTCTGTATGCCATTCCCGATGGCCACAGCAAGTCCAAGGCCACGTCTGGCCCGAAAACCGATGGTGCTGCTGCCTCTAAGGTTGGTGTGAATGGGTCGCAGGACACATGTAGTATAGGTCATACATAGCCTTGGGTGCAGACATCATAATATCTTTTGCTGTTCACAGTCGTTGATCCTATACCGTTTCCCCTCTAAAGACGCCACAACTTCCTGGTTGTGTGTTATGGGGACCACTCTGCCTTCGACTTGTCCGGTGGTGCTGAAGCGCTTTCTCTTTGTTGTACGCGACCGAGTGACAAGGCAAAACTGGTTCAGTCTCTCCGACTCTAAACACAAGTAGTATCTCAGGGAACAATATTGCGCTAAGTGATTGCACGAAGACACAATGTTATTAGCACAGGAAGACTAAGAAAACGGAAGTAAAGACTGCAACAACTGAACTGGGAAACTGACAGACGGATCTATAATACAGTACGGTAAATCTATATCTATATACGGTATGGTAAGTCTATATCGATATACGGCACGGTAAGTCTAGTTACAACTCCCAGCGCTAGCTAGCGATCTCTAAATGTAAGCAAGGCAGTTACGCATCACTGGCCACTGTGACATAAGGTTTGTGTAGGAGAAAGTCCGTCTACTACACTCTTGATGCTATGTCACAGGGAATGTTTTAAATTTCATCGTAGGGGCTGTCTTGTCGTGTTCTTTACTCTTTTACTTGAGCTGCTGATCCACAGCTGTGTGGGCTATATTGTTGGCTTGTGGTGGTTTAGGGTGGATCTGCACGGAAGAAGGATGCTGCCAGCAAGGTATGATGATGATAGGTGATAAGTTGAAACTTATAGTGTTTGGTAGTTTATACCTTTCATCTTGGCTTTGGAGTGGCGTTTGTCGGCAGCCTCGTGCTCTGCTGGAAGTGACTGACAAGGGTTTTGTTCAGATATCGATGACACACGCCGGGACTGCCTCTCTGTGTCTGTTTCTCTGTCTGCTCTCTCTCTCTCTCTCTCTCTCTCTCTCTCTCTCTCTCTCTCTCTCTCTCTCTCTCTCTCTCTCTCTCTCTCTCTCTCTGTGTGTGTGTGTGTGTGTCTCTCTCTCTCTCTCTCTCTCTCTCTCTCTCTCTCTCTCTCTCTCTCTCTCTCTCTCTCTCTCTCCGCGGACACATTTTATATTACTTTGTAGTGCGCTTGGTACTGTGCCAGCATTCGAACCGTGTGTATTTGATCTCCGACTAGGACCGGGGCTGGGTCACTGCCGGTACCCCCCCCCCCCCCCCCCCGGTGCCAATATTGTGACCCAACCCTGAACGCCATGTTTGTTTCCACTTTCTGCGTTCAGGATGAGGGAGCAAAGAAAGAGAAGGCAGCAAAGGTAAGAACTTGCAGAGAACTGTCTCAGACTGTGTTTGCTTGACTGGTTTGCACAAGTGACGCAGAGCGTAGTGATGCAGAGCACACCAGACATGTGATAGCTTCAGTCAAATTAGCTCAGAATCGTTGGCCTTGCCTTGTGAACTTTTCGTTTTATGTATTTATCCACTTTCCCTCCACAGAAGAAGGACAATGGCAAGAAGGCTGAGCCCAAGGCTGCTGCCGCAGAGGCTGTAAGTGATTTGATGTGTTTTGTTGCGTGCTGCCTCGTCCCTTGCTCTTGCCAGCATAAAGCACTGTCACTCTAGCACTCCAGCAAATGTTGGTTTTTGCTTTGAGAGTGACAGTCGTCATGTCATGGCTACACGAAAATGCAGTTCTTTCGGGTGAGCATCTTGACTAATATTCCATGAGAGACTGGCTCAATCAGAACTGTGACATCTATCCGAATCAGTGTTGGTGCCGCTGCCATCCTTTTGTGTCACTGTTGTCAGCACAAGTACTCCCATAGTTTCAGCGGAACAGCACGTCTGCAGTTTATGCGCATGCACAATGAACTGTGAAGAGATCTCATCTTGAGGCTGATTTAGCCAGTGCTGGGAAATGGTTTGGTGCAAGCCCTTGTTTTATGTGCTGGGAAATGGTTTGTGTTGTGTGTGCGTGTGCGCGCGCGCGCGTGTGTGTGTGATCTAATCATCTAATCCGTTTTTTGGTTGTATTTCGATTTGCCCACGGAACAATTGCTCTGTTATACAGAAGCCCGCCGCTGCTGAGGCTGCTCCAGCTGCTGCGGCTGCTCCAGCTGCTGCGGCTGCTGCTGCCACCTCCGCTACGAAGACAGACGAGGAAAAGACTAAGAAGAAAGAGGAGAAGAAGGCTGCCAAGGTATGAAGTTCATGATACTAGTATCTGCTGACTAGCTAGTCATTTGGGCAGTTGTTTGTTTCTTAGCATGGGTGAGCAGGTGCATGTTAGGGAAACGGCACAGCCGACTTGCATAAGTTCGTTAGAGCTCCGCAGACTGGAAGAATGCCGTAGATCAAACTGTAACACACAAGTGGGCCACCCATAGGCCAGCGGCCCCAAGGGCAATAGGGGCTGAGAAAGTGTTCTAAATTAAAAATGGTGAGGTTTTGTGTGAAAATGTGTACCTGCGTGAGTACGCACATGCAAGGAAAGTCATGCAGTACTATAGGTGTGTATACGGAGTTTGTAGTGGTGGAAAAAGATACTTATGAAAGTAGATTCCCGACACAAGCAAAAGGTCATCATTGTTGCTTCATCGGAACTTACTGGTTTCACTGCTAATACCGGTAGTAATACCGTAAAGTACCGCCAGAGCGCCCCGTCTCGCGAGAGCGCCCCACCCTGATTTACAGCCAGGGAAAGGAAAAATCGTATGGCAGAGTGCAACAAAGTTTGCACCTTGTGTAAGCCTTTAATAGTGTACTAAGGTCACACTATGCAGGTTTTTGTGTGGAGCCCGTGTTCGCTTGAAGGTACGGGTTGTATGCAGAAGGTGCAATATGTGTACAAAGTTCGTGTCGCATGACCTACAGACAGCAGACCACCTCCACAATACGACCACGAAAGGACGAGATGGTGGGGCGCTCTGGCGGTACTTTACGGTACAGATTTGTTTATTTGCCAGAGTGCTGTGTTGTCATGGTGATTTGCCTGTGTGCTGTGTTGTCATGGTGATAGGCTGCAGCGGCTAGCCAGAAGAAGGAGGCGAAGGCCGCCAAGGTAAACACACGCATACACACACGCACACGTGTGCCTGTCCTGTCCTCTAGAGCCACTGCCACAGGGGTCACGTGGGGCCTGGAGGGGCATGAGAGAGGAAGATGGAGCATGCATCATGATGACATTGGACGTTGTCTCCCTCTCTTCTCTGCAACACATTTCTATTTTCACCGTGCGATGTTCTAAATCCACTCGGGGGCTTGTCAAACCTCCAGACCTTTACACAAATCCACAAACACACACACACACACACACACACACACACACACACACATACATACATACATACATACATACATACATACACACACACACACACACACGTGTGTGTACATGTGTGTGGGTGTACACACGTTGTTTATATACCGTACTGGCAATATATGTTGCCGCGTAACGCGTAACGCAGGGGGTGCGGCGTAACGCGCGACCAGGCTAGTGCGACAAATTTTCGTTGAGTTCGTAACGCGCGTCCGGCGGGGTGCGGCGATCTTTTAATTGCAGTTTGCATTGCAAAAAAAAGGCTGAAACTGTGAAAGCACGTGTACCGCGTGGTGAAAAGTAGCTTTTGGAGGAAGCGCTCTTCCCCTATGTCACTTTCCTTTTGATGATCTTTTTGTGAACAGATCACTCTGATAGTTAAAATATACAATCTTCTATTGATATCGTTGTCGCCCTTTGGCGTCGGGTTTGTAACAGTTGGATAGCAACTGAATTTCTGTGCCTTCAATGTGGATGAAAAGAAAAAAATGATGCGGCAAAAGCAAAAGAATGATGCGGCAATAGCAAAAAAGTGATGCGGCAATAGCAAAAAAAGGACTGCGGCAATATAGAAACCTGTGTAACGGCTCCTGTGCGACTTTGCATGTAACGCCCTGCGTGCGGCAAACATGTGCCAATGTAACGCTTCATGGCCTCACTGCGGCAACATATATTGCCAGTACGGTATTAAAAAAAATGCTCGACTCTGTGTCTGGTTCCATTAACTAATCTATGAGTTTTTCTTGTGTTCATTTTTCTGTTTTGTGTGTGTTCAGGGTGAGTAATTTGGATCGTATGGTCATCATATTCCTGATCAGTGCTCCCAATGTGTGTAGCTCCCGTGTTCGCGCACACCTTTGTCAGTACCACAGGCCAACCGTGTGATTGTCATCCACCTAATCCATGGTGCTTCGTGTGATGGATTTGCCGGCGATTATCTGCATTTCTTGTGCTGCATGCTGTGATTTTTGACCATTGATTGTGTTGCATTTTGGGTGTACTCGTCTGGTTTCTGAGTTGATTGCTACAACCCTCTGACTTTGAATGTTCCTGTGCTTGTCTTCATTTCACCTTGTCTTTTCTTGAACCTTGTATTGCTGTAGCTGCTGCCGACAGCAAGAAAGTGTCTCGGTAAGCCCTCTCGGTCTTATTCTCTCCCTCTCCCCCCCCCCCCCCCCCCCGCTCTTTCTCTCACACACAGACTCTCTTTCTCTTCTGTCTGTCTGTCTGTCTGTCCTGTTAACGATGGACTACTGTACTTCTGGCTAGATTAACTCTTGTGTAGTCAATGGTGCTAGTGAAGCTTATATCAGATCCACTCTGGTTTAGCCACCCACACTAGTAGCAAGTATTGCCTTCACTCGGGGCAAGGATGAGAATGCAGTTGGATCCCGGGGCGGATACCCTGATGTCGCCACTCCTTTTTTCTGCACCTTGTCCTCGCCCGCTTACTGAGGTGTGGTGAGCCCATCAGTGGGATCATTTCCAAGTCCACCCATAGTGTGGGTATTTCAGGGGGTGTCGGCCGTTGGGCGGCTCAATAGCCGATCGAGTCATCTTTCCAAGATTCCCTGTGAATCTCCCTCCCCTCTCCCGGGGAGACCCACTTGACCGGTTTCGGCAAATGGACAAGTGCAAGTTCCGTCTCTCACTTACTCTAGTACCCACATGCAGGTATGTACACACGTGCGCGCCTGGGATATGTGTTCTGGCCGCACGGAGTGCATGATTGTCGCCTCAGGGTCATGTGAACCTGAATCGCCCTGCAGCCTTGTGCTAGACACTTCCATGGCTCCATCGTACTGTGTGCGTATTGCTCCATGCACTCATACATGTAAGCAGAACTGCGCTTGCCTCAGCTGGGTTGTTCTTATTGAGACCGGCTTGGCAAGTGTCACAAGTATGTTCGGTGTGCTGGTCTGTAACTGCTCGCCTTTTGTGTGTGTGTGTGTGTGTGTGCGTGTGTTTGTGTATGTTCAGACTTGGAATGGAGGTGAAGAAAAACGAAGACTTTGCTGAATGGTACACGCAGGTATGTGTGACTAGCAGCTTTGACCATGTCATCTATCTGCAATGTCTCTCTGCTTGTACTCTATAGTCGATTTTACCACAAGCCAAACAGTGTGTTCCAGTTGGGTACATGTAACTGCTTAGTCTGATTAGTTTAGGATTGTACCCGATAGTACGTCCTTTGGAGTTTTGTGCTCACTTGTAACGTGTCGTTGCGCTTCCTTGTAGTTAGTTTGCTGCTTCCGCAAAGACTCACCTGGTGTCCTCTCTGTTTGCCACCCGTCTGTGCATGTGTGCGTGTGTGTGTGTGTGTGTGTTCTTATTGGGTGTTGCACAGGTGATCACAAAGTCTCAGATGATCGAGTACTACGACGTGTCTGGCTGTTATGTCATCCGTCCATGGGCGTACAGCATCTGGGAGCTCATCAAAGGTACTATGACAAGAGATGGTTTTCAGTGTAACATATAGCTGGTTGGTGCTGTACTCGACTACAATCATAGTTGAATGAACTCGTCGTCTATTGAAGTATATGTATGTTCTGAGACAAGACACATTATCTAAGTTCTCTTTGCGTTGTTTCTTCTTCTGTGTAGATTTCTTTGACTCGGAGATCAAGAAGCTTGGCGTGAGGAACGCCTCATTCCCCATGTTTGTGTCACAAGCTGCCTTGGAACGTGAGAAGGACCATATTGCCGATTTTGCTCCAGAGGTAAGCTTGATCATATTCTGCATCTTTCCCTTTACTAATTGTTCTCCTTTGCTGGCCATTTTGTCCACGCATACACACACACATGTGATCACATGCATGTGCACACACGCACATACGTACGTGCACACGCGCACGCTTGCACACACATGCATACACACACACACACACACACACACACACACACACACACACACACACACACAGTGCACACAGCCTCTCTCACTCTCTGTCTGCCTATCCAGAATGATGCTGTGATGTTACGGGCCTGGTGGTGTAAGTTCTTTGCCAGTAACTTTCCAATGTGTCCGTGTGTGTCTATCATGTGTAGGTCGCATGGGTCACTAAGTCTGGCCAGTCCGATCTTGCTGAACCAATTGCCATCCGTCCAACCTCCGAGACGGGTACGTATTCTGCTACTGTCGTTCCTGTAATGCCCAGCTGGACGTTTTTTCCTCATAATCTGCTCAAGAACCGGGTAGAGTAGTCTTCTCCAACTGAAGATCAAGGAAACTTTGCCACCAATAAACAATCTACTGTGGCTTAGATCAGCAGTGTACATGTACATGTAGCTACTCACACTTATGTATTTACCTGTGGTCACACTGGTCATCTCTAGCTGTAGAACACCTGTTTTTTGTTGGCATGAAGACAGTTTTCTGTGTATCTTGGTGTTGCCGCCGAACACCGGTTTGACGGCGTGGCACTGATAGATGTTTGTGTATTGTGCTTTGACGAGGTTTAGTAAACTACTTGTGTGTTGATGCGGTTGGCATGTTGTGTGTTGTTGACTGTCCTACCTAGGTATGTATCCATGCTATGCTAAATGGATCCAGTCGCATCGTGACCTGCCACTCAAGATCAACCAGTGGAACAACGTCGTGGTAAGTGTAGCGGACGCCAGTGCTAGTTACTGGCCACATTGTACAGTGGTGTAATTCTAGCGCTGTGTGACTTATGATTTCCCTTTTTCTTCTTTTGTATGTAGCGCTTTCTGGGGATATCTTTTTCCTTTTTTTCTTTTCGCGTTAAGTTATTTTTTCACTGTTTAGTAAATACCCATTATTTTAGGTACTTTATTACTCCCAAATCTACATTGTAAAGGTCTTTTACTTGTCATGATGACTAAGGGAAAAACAGTAGGTACACAGCTGCTCAATGAAATCCAAGCATCGCTAGACACCTTGTGTGCCGTCGTGCACTGTGCACTGTGCAGCAGCCGCCGGTCTGCAAACACTGTGCTGCGTGTTGGTGCAGGGTCCAGCCTATTTCATGGGCCAGAGTTGTATTGGGCACGACTACCAAAGTAGTACATGTGCTGTCTGTCATGACCATGTATGGTCTTTTGATGGTAGCAAACGAATTAATTTCGCTTAGCTGTAGAACGATTGAAAAATTAATAAAGTTAGGGAAGGCCAACAGGAAAACAGACCCGTATATGCAAGTTTGGAGCCTCGGCAACAAGAAACAGGACCACCCGGTGTAAGATTGCACTGTGCGTATGTTCAGGGTTCACGCTGGTCATGCCGTGTCTGCTGCTCATGGTTTCTAGACGCATGCTGCATGTCCAGGGTTCACACTGGTCATGTCTTGTCTGCTGCTCATGGTTTCTATGTGCATGCTGCATGCTGACACACTCGAATGTACTCTGCTCTTGTTCTATGGTGCTGCCATGTAGCGCTGGGAGTTCAAGCACCCACAGCCGTTCCTGAGAACTCGTGAGTTCCTCTGGCAAGAAGGACACACGGTCTATGCAGAGAAGTCGGATGCCGAAGAGGAGGTGAGTCAGAGCGGCGTGTCACAAAGCACTTCTCTCTGATGTTGTTGCTCTGGCCGGCATTCATTGCACTAGGTTTGCATGCATCCCGTTAGGCCAGTTGAGAGTTGAGCAGACGTTGAGCGTGCTCTTTCCCAGCGTTTGTGAACATGTGTGTGTGTGTGTGTGTGTGTGTGTGTGTGCTTTGCTTCTATTTGTACAGGTGTTCACCATCCTCGATCTGTATGCTCGTGTGTATGAAGAGTTGATGGCCGTGCCAGTCGTCAAAGGACGCAAGAGTGAGAAGGAGAAGTTCGCCGGTGGTGACTTCACCACTACCGTCGAGGCGTTCATTCCCACCAGCGGCAGAGGCATCCAGGTAGGTGTGTGTGTGTGTGTGTGTGTGTGTGTGTGTTGTGCGTGCGTGTTTCTGACTGCCTCTCTGTCTCTCCTGGCACATGACTGAGTATGAGCTTGTATGTGGTATGCATGTGTGTGTGTGCTTGGTATCATTCGTCTGTGTAGAGAGACGTTTCCAATGGTATGCTTTTCTCCGTGAAAATCTCTACTCCCACTGTTGTAGGGCGCAACTTCACATCACCTGGGACAGAACTTTGCCAAGATGTTTGACATTATCATCGAGGACCCGAAGAAGGTATGCATCTTATTCCTTGCTCACCCACTATGGTCTGATGGGGCTCACTTTGTGAATCTACCCTCGCAGTTTAGCTCGTTAGTTGGCATCCTCTAAGTGTGCGACTGCGTTTGTGTGTGCGTGTGTGCGTGTGCGTGCGTGTGCGTGCGTGCATGTCCTGCTTGTGTTGAATGTTCGAAAGTGTTAGGAGTGATCCAGAATTCATGAGCTCTTGTTTCTGCCATTACGTGTGTAATGGTCTAACTTGATGTGGGGCACTACAAGGTACTAGCAGTACTAGTAACCATTGGGCGAATTCAACTGACTTGGCTTGCTGTCTTTTGTTTTGTGTCTGTTGGGCATTGTTTTGCAGTTGACATTGTTCTACTATTTGTGTTGCAAGCTCCATCTTTGATTGTTTTGTGTGTTATGTCTTTATTTTGCAGGCCGGCGAGAAGCTGTATGTGTTCCAGAACTCCTGGGGACTCACAACTCGCACTATTGGCGTACTCTGCATGGTGCATGGTGATGACAAGGGTCTTGTGCTGCCACCAAGACTGGCTGAGCTTCAGGTTAGTCTAGAATATACCCTGTTGCCATGTGTGTGTGTGTGTGTGCGTGCGTGCGTGCGTGTGTGCGCGATAACGGTCAATTCATCGGCCTTGCAAGCTGCTGAATGGTGTAATCCCAGCACAAGTTGCTCTGTCTAGCATAGCTTGTTCACTTTCATTGGTAAAGTGACAAAATTAATGCTTAGGCTATGTGGCTGGACGTGCACACAATGTGTTTGATAAGCCTCTTCAGAGTCTTGTACGGGCAAAATGAATTGCACGTATCATCAAACAAACTCATGTACAAGTATGAATGCAGTGAGCTATAAAAATCGATTTAAATACTAGTAAATCAATTGGAACACAAACAAAAAGAGAAAGAAAGGTAAAATGTGCAGTCAGTACTGTGCTGGCTGTTGCACCTTCTGACTACACAACATCTTGCTTATAACTGTTAGTGTTAGACACAAACTACGGATAACATGTGACATGTTGGTCCATTCTTCTAATTTATAATGTGTTTGATAGTGTTCTTCATTGCATTGTGTTGATGTTCCACACCGTGCACCCACAGGCGGTCATTGTGCCATGCGGTATCACAGTCAAGACAAGTGCCGAGGATACCAAGACTCTGATTGATGCGTGCCATGAGACCGGACACGCTCTGAAGGCCGGCGGCATTCGCTGTCAGGTGGACGACCGCGATAATCAGAGTCCAGGCTGGAAGTTCAACTACTGGGAGCTGCGGGTAAGTGGCGTGTGTGTGTGTGTCGTGTGTGTGTCGTGTGTCTGTCTGACTGTCTATGTCTGCCTGCCTGTCTGTGTATGTATGTGTGTGTCTGTCTGTGTATGTGTGTGTCTGTGTGTGTGGGTGTGGGTGGGTGTGTTTGCCCGTGTGCTAGCCCGTGTGTGCCTGTGTGCGCCCTAACTTTAATGCGTTGTGATGCTGCAATGTGAATGTATGTCTTGTCGTATCACCTGTTAAATTGGTCCCATCTTGTGCAATTATCTGTACATGTGTTGTCTTTGGTAATGTATCCTGCATTTCCTGTTCATCTCTTCTGTGCTGTGCTGTGTTGTGCTCTGCTGTGCTGTGCTGTGCTGTGCTGTGCTGTAGGGTGTCCCTGTGCGAGTGGAGATTGGACCCAAGGACTTGGCTGGTGGTCAGGTTACAGCCGTCATCCGTCACAACGGCGAGAAGGTCAGTAGCACTTGCCCAGCTTAACCTTCGGGCTTGCCTCTGTGTGTGTGTGTGTGTGTGTCGGTGTCGGTGTGTGTGTCGGTGTGTCGGTGTGTGTGTGTGTCGGTGTGTGTGTCGGTGTGTGTGTCGGTGTGTGTGTGTGTGTGTGTGTGTGTGTGTGTGTGTGTGTGTGTGTGTGTGTGTGTGTGTGTGTGTGTGTGTGTGTGTGTGTGTGTGTGTGTGTGTGTTCATATACTTTCTGTTTGAAGTATACATACCTGTTAGCCATGGACTGCTTCTGGCTAGATTAACTCTTGTGTGATCAATGGTGCTAGTGAAGCTTATATCAGATCCGCTCTGGTTTAGCCACCCACACTAGTACCCAGTATTACCTTCACTGGGGGCAGGGGTAACTGCAGTTGGATCCCGGGACGGATACCCTGATGCCGTCAATCCTTTTTCTGCACCTTGTCCTCACCCACTTACTGAGGTGTGGTGAGCCCATAAGTGGGATCATTTCAAGTCCACCCTAGTTTGGGGATTTCAGGGGGTGTCGGCCGTTGGGTGGTTCAATGGCCAATTGAGTCATCTTTCCAAGATTCCTTTTGAGTCTCTCTCCCCTCTCCCGGGGAGACCCACGTGACCAGTTTTGGCAGTGAGCAAGTACAAGTGTGTGTGTGTGTGTGTGTGTGTGTGTCGGTGTGTGTGTGTCGGTTTGTGTGTCGGTGTGTGTGTGTCGGTTTGTGTGTCGGTGTGGGGGGGGGGGGGTGTAAGTGTGTGTGCATGCGTACGTGCGTACAGCTCCGTGTCAGTATGTGAGTTCAGAATTCACAGTATTGCTCACACACATGTCCCGCCACAATACAATACATGTGACCGCACAAAGCTCCATAAGTGGACTTTTGTCGGTATATCACTACTTGAAGTACTAGTAATCTCGGGTCAACCATCTTCATATAATCGCCCACCTTTTTTTGATCATTACTTCCTGGGTCAAACTCAGCCTGGTTTGAACGTTGACCTTGGTGGAATGTTGACCTGGGTTGAACGTTGACCTGGGTTGAACGTTGACCTGGGTTGAGAGCTCATGTAAACACAACTGTACGCAGCTGATCATCCACCATGCTTGTCTTATGGCACATGTGCGTATGTATGTCCGTGTATGTATGTCCGTGTATGTATGTCCGTGTGTGTATGTCCGTGTGTGTGTACTTCTACAGTTGCCAGTTGTGCGTGACGACAACCTTGCTGACAGGATCAGCGAGCTCCTCTTTAACATTCAGAAGCAGATGTTGGAGAAGTAAGCATGCTCCTCAGTACACTCGTCCTCCTCCTCATTATCCGTCCGTTCTTTCATGCATTCGCTTGGCTGTCTGCCGATTTGTATGCCCATCTGTCTGTCTCTCTGCCCATCCATGTTTCTCTATCTACAATTGTGCTCGGTGAAATCCGACCCAAGGTGCATATTTGACGCCCTCAACTTGCACGGCCCTTGACGCCCTGGAAACGGCATGAATGCAGCTGAACGTACACATGTACAAGGACAGTGATGTAATCGGAACTGGTTTGCACTTCGGGTCGGATTTCAATGAGCGCAACTGTAGCTGTCCTGCTATCTAGCCATCCAGCTGTTCAGCTCTCACTTTTGTGTGTGTGTATGTGTTGCAAGATGAAGACTCCCTCTGCACTTTTTTCTGTCCTGCAAATTAAACTGCTCTTCATTGGTGTTGTCTGTGTTTTGTGGTGGTGTGTAGGGCCCGAGTTGAGCGTGATGCTCACATCAAGCAGGTAACAACGTGGAGCGACTTCTGCACTCTACTCGAGCAGAAGAATGTAAGTCGACCATCGGTGTACTTGTGCATGTAGCTGCGTGCATGATTGTGCTGCTTTGACGTGTCACCTCTGAATCACAGACCACTGTCCACCACCACCACAGCCGCAACACCGCCGCTGTGCCACTGCTTGTATAGAGCCTGTTTCACATCTATCACATGACCATACAGGGCAGCCATGTTGATTCCAACTCCACTCAACCCCTGAGGTCATGTGATGTCGGCCATGTTGGTTCCACTGTCCGCATGCCATGATCGCTTTCAACGCGTGAAATCACCCTATTGTCCTGAAGGTGGCTGGTGGGATTGTAGCTGGTGTGGTTGTTGCTGGTGTGGTTGTTGCTGGTGTGGTTATTGCTGGTGTGGTTGTTGCTGGTGTGGTTGTTGCTGGTGTGGTTGTTGCTGGTGTGGTTGTTGCTGGTGTGGTTGTTGCTGGTGTGGTTGTTGCTGGTGTGGTTGTTGCTGGTGTGGTTGTTGCTGGTGTGGTTGTTGCTGGTGTGGTTGTTGCTGGTGTGGTTGTTGCTGGTGTGGTTGTTGCTGGTGTGGTTGTTGCTGGTGTGGTTGTTGCTGGGGTGGTTGTTGCTGGTGTGGTTGTTGCTGGTGTGGTTGTTGCTGGTGTGGTTGTTGCTGGTGGGATTGTAGCTGGTGTGGTTGTTGCTGGTGTGGTTGTTGCTGGTGGGATTGTAGCTGGTGTGGTTGTTGCTGGTGTGGTTGTTGCTGGTGTGGTTGTTGCTGGTGGGATTGTTGCTGCTGTAAGCTGCTATCTGTTAGTGCCTGCAGTATTGTAGTTGACACGAGTTAGCATGCATCATGCATGCATCATGCTTTACTACAACACTGTAGGTGTGCGTCTGTCTTGCTCTGCTGCTCATTTCCTTCTGGGCATTGTCGCAGCCATGTCAGTGTGCCGTCTGTGTGGGGAGCTTCTGTTTTTCTTGTGGCAGCTACGTGTATGTTCTGGTGCACTCACTGTACCTACTGTCGTGGACATTACAATCCGATGGGATGATCGGGGCCGGCACCCTTACTGTTTTTAGCACGTACATGCACTGTATTTCATGTACATGCACTGTATTTCACGTACATGCACTGTATTTCACGTACATGCACTGTATTTCACGTACATGCACTGTATTTCACGTACATGCACTGTAAAAATGGATCAGCAAGATCATTGCCGTGTGGCTGCGAGACTTCCCAACGGATTTCAATGTCCGCTGCAGTAGATTGTTGTGGAGCTGTCCACGTGACTGGAGAGTGCCGTGGTCCTCCGGCCCTGGACTGCAGCCAAGTGATGACTCGTGACCAGTCCTGTTTTCTCATGTCATGGCTTTGCTTGAGCGTGTCTTTGACCAATTGAGGGTTCCTGGCACGTATTGGTATGTGTGTGTGCGTGCGTGCGTGCGTGTGTGTGCGTGTGTGTGTGTGTATCCATGCGTACATATGTGTGACATGTTTGTTGCTACATGTTTTGCAGTTGCTGCTGGCTCCGTTCTGCGGAGTGGAGAAGTGCGAGGACTCCATCAAGAAGGAGAGCGCAAGGTATGTATGACTTGTGTGCATTCTGCTGCTGTTCTCACATGGATTTGATTGTAACAGAATGCTCGTCCTGCTGTGCAGTACTGCCATTGTACTAGTTTGGCGGTTTTTTTGCTCTTCGAATGAAAACAACAATGCGGTGCAATGTGTGACCATGCTTGGACTATCAAACCCTCTGGATACTTGTATGTTTTTGCTGTTGTTGCTATGCTTGTGGAGACATGAATGGAACTTTTTCACTCACAGATGCATAGAGCTCAATTCCCAGTACTGTAAAACGTGTTATTCTCGGTGTAACTGTTTTTATTTTTCGGTGATTTCGGTAGAGAAAACAGGCACCTAAATTTAAATTACACCTAAAAGGCACTAGAGTATGCACTGTATGTGAAGGAAATTCTGTTCACCTAATTCTACATTACACCTGAAACCTGGCAGGTCCCTGGCACCGAAATTTTAATGCACCTATTAAAAATTACATGTTTTACAGTAATATGCGAGCTGTTCTTCTTCTTCTCTTATCTTTATGCTTGCAGAACTGATGTGGCCGTGGCAGTGGATCCCAATGCACCAGCCATGGGCGCCAAGTCCCTGTGCATTCCGCTGGAGCAGCCAGACATGCCAGCTGGCAGCAAGTGCATCCAGCCGAAGTGCGCCGACTGCACTGACAAGCTGAAGTGGACGCTGTTTGGACGTTCGTACTAGACTCAACGCCCAAGGTACACCAGCGTTACCAACGTTACTAACTCTGCTCACAAGCATGGCAATACCTACTCTGCCCACACTCATGGTTGACCAACGTATGTCTTCTGCTAATGCTGACACCGCTCGCACACGTTTGCTGGCTGTTATTTTTGTGCTCGTAGAAAACTCTTTCTCTCTCTCTTTTTTTAACTCCCTAGGTGACCTTCTCTATGTCATAGCATGTAGTGCATGGCGACAACGCACTTGTTGATTCTTACTTTCATATCATTTCGTACTCTTTCCGCTGTTCAATTATTAGGTGAACTAGCGGTCAGTTGTCGCCATGCTATCACTGTGATCATCTTTTTTCGGTCTTTCTGGCCTCTTGACTCTCAGTCCAAAGAAAACCTCTCCTTTCCTTTTGGCAAGTCACTTAACTGACTACTAGTACATCACGAGTTTCATGTGTACGTTTGAACGACTGCCCATGGGAAAGGTCTGCAGTGTGGAAATTATATTACCAGATGGTGATGATGAATGCCAATGTGCCACTTCACATCGGGGAGTAGTAAAATACTTCAAATGATGTGGTAATCACACAACAACCTCCGGTGGTGCTATATTGATTGTGTGAGAGCCAGCCATACCAGCCATACAGCTCTATGACGTCACACCCCCACCACACACATGCATGCACACACGCACAGAAACCAATCGGCCAATACCGTCCAGTTTCGCCGCCAACAGCAGCGAGAGACCCACATCCGGCGCCTTGCGCCCGAAGTAGAATATCAAAAGCGAGGGGTTAATAAAGAAGTGAAAGAAACGAAGAAACGAAAGTCTACTACAATGTCAATGATATCTACAACATGAACATGATCTCACCAGGAGAAGATCTCACCAGGACCAAGTGGCAAAGCGCCATGAGTAGAGGGGGGTAAGTAACAAAAAAGCTCAGGAAGCCGGCTAATGTTACAGCAACAAACGAGAAAGAAGTGCCAGGCAGGCCTAAAAGTGCAAGGAAATAAATCTCAAGACACACACACACACACCACGCACACACACAGACACACACGTCGCGCCGTCTCACAGATCTCAAATAGATACTACTTGCACTACTACGTCGCATATCATACTGATTATGTACATCACATAAAAAAACTCTACTACTAGGCTGACATCATGATGACGTCACGATGACATAATCACATGTCAAATTTAGGAACTAAAGTCGGGAGTCAAAAGCAGCGTACAGCAATGAAGAGGAAGTCCGTACATGGAAAGGGGACCAGGGGGGAAATGTAGGGACAGGGGATATCCTCACATGGCTTCACCAACTGGTCGACGAACCTTACCAGCGAGAGAGGCGCATGGCAAAGGAACATGCCCAGGGATATTACATGCACACACACACACACACACACACACACACACACACACACACACACACACACACACACACACACACACACACACACACAAACACGCACGCACGCACACACACACACCAGTCAATCAATATGTACACGGACACTGTACTCACTGAGTAGAGATTGACGTGAGGCTAGGCTAGAACTCAGTCTAGCATTCAAACAAGCACGTCAACCAGACACCGCATGCCGGCTAGCTGGACACCTGCGCAGCGCTGCAGTGATGGAACGTACCGGTGCCTGGCCAGGACTGACAGATCAGTTCAAGATACGGACAATACATGACTTCTTGGAGGGGACGGAAGGAGAATGGCTTTGTACAATACTGCCAAACGCAATGTGTCACGGAACACCCAGGACACAGGGCAGCAGCGATCCAAAACGAAAGCGGTTATCAAAACGCACCCGGCTGTGCAGGCACAGGGATGAACTGCTGCTGCGCTTGCTGTGTTGTTTGCGCTTGGGGTTGTACCTGCATGTCTTGCTCTGCTGGCCGAGTACTGGAGCTGGCGTTGGTGGGCGCCATGCTGGGTAGAGCCGACAGGGATATTGTGTGCAAGTGACTGCTCACAACTTGCTGGCCAATTGCAGCTGCCGACGCTGGTATGCTGGCAGGTTGTTGCTGTTGTTGTTGTTGCTGCTGGGCTGCCGGTGTCTGCTGCACCTGCAGCGTTCTCGGCGTCTGCTGGAAGACTGGTTGCTGGAGCTGCGATGCTGTTTGTGAACTCTGCTGTTGCTGCTGAGAATGCGGCTGTGGTGGTGGAGGTGGTGCCTGTGGTGGCAGTGCTTGCAGCTGTGATACCGGTGGTGGTGGGGGTGGCGGTGGCTGGTGAGGCTGCGCCGGCGGTGGCACTGGCTGCAGCTGCGCCTGCGCCATGCTGTACTGGTAAAGCGAGCCGCGCTGATAGAGACCGGTCATGATGTGCTGGATGTGCACCTCAACACTGTTCTCAAACATCCTGTGTGTTCAGAACATCACAGCATACACACACGCGTGCACACACACACACACACACACACACACACACACACACACACGACACGACAAGACACAACACACACACACACACACACGCACGCACGCACAAAAGAGTAAGTTAAAAAGCAACTGTATCCCACGAGCTCAACGTCTTCATACTGGTATTGGAGATGTGAGTGCGGATGACCAGCATTCAAATCCACACACACAAAATAGTGAAAATACTCACTCACCCAACATTGGACGCTGAGACAATGTTTGGGTTGCTCTTGAGTTCCTGCAGCGACTCGTGGATGCAACCCAGCTCATACGCGTTGACCGTGTTCCCTCTACTTGCCTCCTACACCATCACAGCACAGCACATGACACACACGCCACAGTGGTGATAACTGACAAGCTACAAGGCTGACAGGAATACTGAGCATGCACAGACTGTGCTCAAAACACCTAAACACTACTCACACACCACACCAAGCTGATTGTAGTGCATATAACAACAAAATGTTCTATGCCATGTCTGCATGGACAGCAAGGGTTCTCGAGAGACTGTACCATTCAAGGCAAAGCCGACAAGAGACTAGAGGGACTTTCCAAGACACCACTACAGCATACTGATACCCAGGTAGCCTCACTGAAGAAAGAAACATCTAGGAGTGCTTGACGTATGCACTATGCATTACCAAGCTGTATGCAATGGTGTGAAGAATGTGACAAACTAGACCACCATGACTCATCAACAGCCAGTAGTGCCACGGCGATGAATGATGACGTAGCAATGGCAACAGCTCATCGCCAGAGGGAACTGCGCGCCTAACGCCCCAGCCAATCGGCGCGAGAAGAGCAGTTTGTTGTGGGAAACACCAACCGCAACGCGCATTGATAGCGCTCACTTCTCAAAGTGCTAAAACCAGTCAGTGGACAAAATCGCGCGAACAACTCGTATACTGTAACACATGTACTTTTAGGTGCATTGAAATTTCGGTGCCAGGGACCTGCCAGGTGTAGTGTAGAATTAGGTGACCAGCTTTCCCTTCACATACAGTGCATATTCTAGTGCCTTTTAGGTGTAATTTAAATGTAACAGTTAGAGGTGCCCGGTTTCTCTACCGAAATCGCCGAAATTGAAGTTACACCGAAAATAACATGTTTTACGGTGCTAGTACTCAACAGTCAGAAGGCATGAACTGTCAAAGCATGCACGCCAGTCGGTGTGATGCGGTGTCGATTTGCACATCGGATAAAGTCACACATGCAGTGCACTGGGTATTATGTTGAACTCGCGCCATTGCGTTGACTCAGCTGGCCGATTTTTAGCGACAAATTCTAAACCCCAACCAGAGACAAGTTTCTCTGTAGCAACCAACTATCACTTCTGTAGAGAACATGATATCTTCACGATACTTTACTTGAGCATGACTGTACAAACTACTGAGAGAGAGAGACAGAGAGAGAGAGAGAGAGAGAGAGAGAGCTATTAATTCCTACACATGCACACACACACACACACACACACACACACACACACATCACAAAGCTTACTTGAAGTTGCAGAAGGAGTGACACAAGTCTTGTAATCAGGAGCACCGCACGATCACTACGCACACGTGGAGTCCTGCACACACACAACAACAACAGACACAAACAGCAGCCGCTCACATGTCTTTCTTTCCCCGCCTCAACAACGCTTGCAACAAAACCAACAGTGACACTCTGGTCTTTCACTATTATACCGGCACTCACATTCAACAAAGGTTCTATGGTGTAATGGTTAGCACTCAGGACTCTGAATCCTGCGATCCGAGTTCAAATCTCGGTAGAACCTGATTTTTTGTTTTTTTCTTTTCTTTCGTGCACACCTACATGACTGTACCTATCCAGGAGAAACTGATCCTGCAGAGTACTGTAGAATGGCTAATTTTAGAGGGCAATTTTTTAAACGTTTTCTGAATCTGCACCAATTCACGATGAAGTAGTTTAGCGATCCGAGTTTCACAAGGATAACTTACACTGCACTGTACATGCAAATTGTCGATTGGCAAAACTTTGGCGAAAACACTCCTTTCGCTAAAATATCACTGTCGCTAAAATTAGCCGTTTTACAGTAATTGCAATGAAGCAGACCCATGGTTGTGAACCAGCACATCATTATAAATGTTTTTCTCTCTTCAAAGCAGGCTGTGTACGTGTGTCTCTCTGCGTGTGTGCGTGTGTCGATTACTTGAGACATTTGAAAACACAGCGTGATCCTGCTTACCCGTTAGGACTGACGTTGAAGCTGTCAACCATCTGAGACGCTCTGTTGTTGCACGCATCCGGTATGGACATTGGCAAATCAACACTGTTGGGATTCAGCTGCAGGACACGACGGCGAGAGCACATGCAACAATCACGTACATAGACAAGCACGCTGGCTCGTTACACGTGTGTGTGTGTGTGTGTGTGTGTGTGTGTGTGTGTGTGTGTGTGTGCGTGGTGTCACAGCTAGCGTGTGGGCAGGTGTTCAGGATCACGAGTGGCGGCAGCTGGGAACAGAGCAGGGCGCAAGGCGGGATACTAGTTTCCTAACAACATGCAGGAGGTCAATAAAGCAAGTGCTTGAGCAGCTGTGCAGCAGCGAGTACAACACGTTACATGTGCGACGACACACGTCATCCGCACACCACAGCACAGCGGACATGGCTCTGCAGCGACCATGAGCAATATGAAACAGCGTACCTTTCCACACCACATGGTCACCCTGGGCATGGTTTGATTCAGATGCTGCGGCAACACAACAAAAGGAAGAAAAAGACAATTCAGGAACAGGATGTTCATGGAGACGAACATGAAAAGCAACGTCCAGCCTAGAGTAGTCATTCCCCCTGGCACGGCCTATACTCTTCATGTCAGACCCAACACATTTATTAATAAAGAAACTACGGAACAACCTGCTGAGAAGTGGTCACCACCCAGCTTGTAAGCGGCTGTTGAAATACAAGGGAGAAATGATGTTGTGGAAACACATGAGACGTGTATGATCTGGACTCCACCAGACAACTCCGGTATACTTGGCTCCGGAAGGACCATCTAGAACTGACTTCGCTCAGCTCAATGCGCAGCTAACTGGCATTTGATGCCTTCAACCAGACAGCTGAAGGCGATATAAGGAAAGATGTACCAGATGGCATGACCAGAATCCGCCGATTTCGTTCAGCGATGAGAGGTAGAATAATGGTTCTCCGTCTCACAAGACTAAACTGGGGTATTCTCCACCGCCGTTCGAGTTGCATAGATACACTGCCGCTCCAGTTGCACGGGAATGGCAGATCTCCACTACAGTTCAACCACACTAGCATCGTGAAAGTGGAATAGTTTGCGGACAAGTTTTCACAACTGCATAACTAGCCTCGAGTAGTGGTCGTGCAGAGTAGTTGTCTTTGGTCGTTCACCTTGAACAATTGTAAGTGTCAATGACTGTCCATCTGCAGGGCAAGCGCCGACAGTGGCATGCTCATCCACGTGGACAACGGAAAAACTGAAATGTTTTCTTACTTCAAAAGTGAAATGCGCACCCAATTGTCAACGGCGCTCACCAGCCATGGCAGGAAGATGTCGGTCGCAGAATATGTGCAACTTGTGCAAACCATAAACGCAAACGAATTCCTCCGACAGGGTTATGGCACGGCCATCACAAGCCCCTCGGTGAGGCCGGGCGGAGGATGGAAAGTAGGAATCTTCCTCATAGTGCAAACGAAAGCTTTGTGCGTAGAGCGGGTAATGCAGACGTTGCCTTAGAAATAGACGTCTTGACTGTTGTAACAACATTCATTTACCTGTAGATCGGGAACTGCAGAGAAGTACACGGAAAAAGATCAGTTGCTGAATGGTGTTGCGGAGCTTGACCGCAAGGCCGACAAGGAGTCGATGGCCAAGAAAGCGGACGCAGACAGGCGTCTGGCAGATTTTGCTGTGCACGCTCGTTTACTCGATATCTAGGTGACGCTGAGGTGACTGGAGGCGCACCAATCCCTGTGCAGTCGATCGGCAACTCGTAAGCATGATGCTTGCCTGGATGACGTACGTACGCTGTCCTTGTGACGACTGGCATCGACATGGTGTACCTTGCAAACACATGTGCGCCATCTTCCAGCTTGTCACTGAACACAGCTGGGTGTCGCTTCTCGATACCTAGTGCAAGACAACCCACTTTGCACACTGGACCCCATGCTGCTAGTGCACAACCCTTCCGATCAGACTTTTTTCTTCTTTTTTTTTGTGCTGCCGGTACAATTGTCTGAAGCATTACCTCGCCAGGACATTAACATGGAAGCAAGTTTCAGCAGTTGGACAGGAATGAATTGTGGAACCACACACGCACAATCTATTGGAATACTTCTAGTCGCGTTAAACCATCCAGTGAGGATAGAATTTAGATGCTGGCACTGGACACTGGACTGGCCGAACCCCCCCCCCCCGAAACGTTCCACCTTTACACTACAGTGGAGGGAAGATATAACGACAATCTTTCGCGAAAGTTTCCAGACCGCAAAGTTATCCCGGTTTACAGCCCCCATTCTCTGTACTTGATCCTGTACTGTTATGTGCTCTATGACAATTGTTTCTCTGGTACTTTCACATGACGGAACAGCAGGACGCTGTTCCCGTTCTCCATTGAAACAAACTTCGGGAGCGCGTTCAGGTTTTCGACTGCTAACTTCTGGGACCATACGTCCCAGGTTGGCCAAGTGAGACATCTCAGCATACGTGCACCGAAATGCTTTTCTTCTGCTTTAAAAAGAAAGAAAGGACATATGAGTAACTGTCCACAACTGTAACAAGATAATAAGTTGTGGATAGCTACTCACAACTCGTAACCCATACCGCTATGTCCTTTCTTATTCTTACATTTTACTATCAGCTCAGTACCAGAGTTCAATACTTCTTCTTTCTTTTGCTGGCAGAGTCGGTAAAAATCAATAAGGGCCCCTTTAGTCCTTCAGACTAAACCAAACGCTACCTGCCCCACATGGCTAGATACCACATGCACCACGGTCATCTCAATCTTGACAAGGCAGGCAATGTTGCCCGTACTCACCAAGTTCAGAGCCTCCAGATCGAGCAGCACGTAGGAATACTGCTGCTGAAAC